CGTGAATGAAAGCCTCCGTCTTATCTTGAACATGATACAAACCCTCCGTCGGCGGAGGAAAAGTGGTCATCACAACCATCTTAAGTGTTCTCTGTGTTGTTGTACACTTCAACACTCAAAAAGTTCCAAATCGAGCAAATTGGTGATGTAAATCTCCGTACAATTTGAGAAGATGGCGACTTAGATAGGTGTTTGAGTCCTGAAAAAACTACCACCAATGCAATAGGTTCATTTGCCGATATCACTGTTGCAGGAAAAACGATTTGTAACGTTTGGAAGACTGCAAAAATCAGCACATGGGAACCTCTTAGAGTGGAGGCTGGAGACGAGTGTCAATTGACATTGCGGGCTCAGCTTAATATAATTCAAAATGGCGGACGACTTAGCGTACTTTGACCAACAATTCTTCAAAAGCCTTTCGTAAGATACTTAAGAAATCGTCGCCTTTCGACGCATAATTATGGATCCTAAAGCTACCCAAGGAAGTACTTCGGGTTATGCGAAAAGTATATCTTTGCCTGAGGTGTTTCGAAATTTAAAAAACGCTAAGATATTTGCGGTGGATATAGGTAAGTTCTGTACAATTTGTCGAGTATAACGCGGTTCTCAAAGGTCACATGACAAACTCTCTGGTCTCTTTTACTAAGTTCCTTGCTCTAGCTGTGTAAAAAATGGCTGAAAATTAGCCTCTCTCTCTCCAACTTTTTAAATTTAGGTTGTATCTTGAATTCTTCTCTTTTGTGCATTTGTTTTTTCACTTCTTTCACTAGCTCGCCTGCTCTGTTCTCCGCCTCCAAAAAAAAAAATTAAAAAAAATTAATAAGTGAATGGAGGTATTGGTCGCCTACTTCTTTTAAAACGGTGAGGTGGGCTGAGGGGTCTTTTCTTGGAATTGAGTTAATTTTCTTTGTTATCTGCACCTCAGGTGGGTCTCTTGCCAAGGTGGCATACATGTCAGAAGTGAGGTACATCAGAAAGCGGCATTACAGCTTTACTAATAAGAGTGATGATGAGGATCAGGAGAGAGGGGTATGAGCTCTAATTTTGTAACTTTTTTTTATTTATTTTTTTTTGGCAACCTTTTTGTGTCTTTATTTCTAACTTTTATGTCTAACTTTTTTGTGTCTATGTCTTGAGGGGTTTTATACTGAAGAACTGTTCATTGTGATAAAATTGTTGGTGAAACAAAGCCAGAAAGGCTGGATTCATAGTTTTCTTGAGCCAATTCCAAATATTGCAATTATATAATTTTCTCATCTTCCCAGTGTGACAGAAGTACGTCAGCTGGGCACATATATGAGATCAAAGAAGACCAAGAGTCCAGCCTCAGATTACACTTCATCAAGTTTGAAACAAAGTATATTGAGATGTGCGTCAACTTTATTCAAGAAAACATTCTATCTGCCATCAGTAAAGATAGAGCCCT